CTGGCAGATCCAACTTTCCAACAAGATAATGCCCGACCACATGTTTGCAAGAGTCACAATAGACTTCTTTCAACATAATGATGTCACATTGTTACCATGGCCACCAAGATCTACCGACTTATCCCCAATTGAGCACGTGTGGGATATGAGGGGTAGCAGATTGCTCAATTTGCAACGTCCCTCCTCGACTCTAGAAGCACTTCGAGAGGAGTTGGTGGTTGCCTCTTGAATGAGATACCAACAGGAGGACATTGACCACCTGATCAGAAGCATGCCTAGGCGCGTTTGGAGAATGCGTTAGCACATCAGGGTGCATCCACACATTATTAAAGGTCAAAGGGCTTTAAAGCAGTGCAATCATTTTGAAAGTTTTATCATTCACTTATTATGCTTCAGTAAGTACTTATACAAAATTTTATTAAAATAAAACCATTTTAAAACTGGGTGTTCGGATTTATATGTCACTTAGTATATCTTGTTCAATTCGCAACACTTCTTCGGGGCTGCCTACTGCCTGCTGTCTCGGTCTTTTACTATGCCCACCTCGACGTTTATACAAACGATGTTTGTGCAATATAAATAACACCCACGGTGCTGGATGAAAACAATCTGCATACACTCGCGAGGTATCATCAGCGTCTTGAAGGCACTAATCGTAAATTTACGGCAAATCGACAAGTTCATTATGTCATTTACCCTTTTTATCAGTTCAAACTTTTAAAAAAACAGTTCGGTTTACCTACACGGCGCTCGTCGCCTATAGCACAACCCGTATCTTTTTAAATAATTATACTAAGTGACATATAAATCCGAAACACCAGTTTTAAATGGTTTATTTTAATAAAAGTTGGTGAATGTATTTATCTTACTGTAAATAACAAGTGAAAAAATTTTCAGACTTATCAGTTGGACATTCAGGTTTTTATACTGCTTTTTTTTAATTCACTAACGCTCTAAAATGAATATTTCAGCCGCAGTAAGAATCAAAGTTGGCGGATTTGGTTCTTGAACATCATTTACGATCGGTTACGATGCCTACGGAGACCTGTACGATTTCGTCCACTTAGTGAGTTTGATAGGGGCCGTATAGTGGGACTTCGGGAAGCTGGACTTTCTTTTCGGGCAATGCAGTTAGAGTGCAAAAGAAGTGTAGACACTGTGGTTAGGTGTTGTCAGGCATGGCTTCGAGAAGGCCGTACGCAAAGAGCAAGGGGCACTGGACGCCGCCGTAGAACAACAGACCGTGAAGATCGCCGCCTAAGATTATTGGCCTTAAGGGACCGTTTCTCCACTACCAGGTCCATTGCAAATGAATGGTTTGCAGAACACGGAAGACCTATTGGCATGCGAAGTGTTTACCGACGAATGAGAAGTTTTGGCTTGTTTTCATACCGGCCACACTGGGTCCTCCCTTTAACTCGAGAACACCGACGTAATCGCCTTGAGTGGTGCAGACAACGGTCACTCTGGGATCAGGAATGGAACAGTATTGTCTTTAGTGACGAGTCCCGATTTTGTTCAGGCATGCAAGATGGTCGTGCCAGGGTTAGAAGGCGACGTGGTGAAAGGAGGAATCTACAGTTTTTTGTTGAAAGACGTGTTCATCAGACATGTTGGAGTTATGGTTTGGGGTGCTATAGCTTATGGTTCCAGGTCAGCTTAATCTTCATCAGAGGTAACATGAACGCGCAGCGTTATATCCACGTTCTAGAACCCATCTTTTACCCTATCTTGACACCCTGGCAGATCCAACTTTCCAACAAGATAATGCCCGACCACATGTTGCAAGAGTCACAATAGACTTCTTTCAACATAATGATGTCACATTGTTTACCATGGCCACCAAGATCTCCCGACTTATCCCCAATTGAGCACGTGTGGGATATGATGGGTAGGAGATTGCTCAATTTGCGACGTCCTCCTCAGACTCTAGAAGCACTTCGAGAGGAGTTGGTTGTTGCCTGGAGTGAGATACCACAGGAGGACATTGACCACCTGATCAGAAGAATGCCTAGGCGCGTTGGAGAATGCGTAGCATATCAGGGTGCATCCACACATTATTAAAGGTCAAAGGGCTTTAAAGCAGTGCAATCATTTTGAAATTTTTATCATTTACTTATTATGCTTCATTAAGTACTTATACAAAATTTTATTAAAATAAAATCATTTAAACTGGGTGTTCGGATTTATATGTCACTTAGTATATTTTGCAAGCGACAGGGTCAAAGTTATTATTGCATATTCTTTTTTGAACCGTAAGAAATCGGTTAACTTTGGTGTACATGTTACTATACCCCATTCGTAATCCATTTACGACCAGACAAAACACAACATGCCCAAAAGCGAGATTGTACAGGAGTAACAATTTATTTACTTTTACGACTGGTCGCTGTGCATAGAAAAATCCAAGTTCACACTATATGGCCTATGAGATTATAAAGGGTTGTCCAATAGGGACGCAGGAAAGTAAACGTCAATTTGACATAGACGCCATCTTTGTTTCTGTCACCGACATGTCATTTGTTAGTTGAATGTTTACCATTGATCGCTATGGAGTCGTATTCGATTGATGACCGCATTAAGTTATTCAAGAGCACTACAAAAATGGTGCAAAAATAAAAAAACACGTTTTCGCGCGCTTCGTGGACATTTCGGTCGCAACAACCGCCCAAACGAAACAACCATCGGTCGTCTGGTGCGTAAATTCGAGGCAACAGGTTCTGTGGCAAATCTGCCAGGCTCTGGCCGGCCAAGCAGCGTTCGCACACCGGAAAATATTGCTGTTGTGAAGGAGAGTGTGAGAGACGATCCAAAACAATCAACAACGCGTCGATCCCAAGAATTGGGCATTTCGAGAACCAGTTTGCTCCGCATTCTCCACAAGGATTTGAAGTACCCGCCTACAAGATCCAATTGAGGCAAGAGCTGCGTGGGGCCGACCATTTTTCGCGCCGAACGTTCTCAGATTGGCTCCTTGAACACCGCCAAATTGACGCCAATTTTTCATCAAAAATCATGTTCAGCGACGAAGCGCATTTCACTTTGAATGGGACGGTAAACAAGCAAAACTGCCGCATCTGGGCGAAACGAAAATCCCCGTGAGTATCAAGAGCAGCCGATGCATCCTCAAAAAGTGACTGTGTGGTGTGCATTGTGGTCAAAAGGCATCATCTGACCTTACTTTTCGAAAATGCGGCCGGGGACGACGTTACCGTCAATTCTGAGCGATATCACGTGATGATAGAGGACTATTTTTTGCCGCAACTTGAAGGAATGGATATGGACGATGTTTATTTCCAACAAGACGGTGCAACATGCCACACAACCAACGTCAATATCCATCGATTGCAGTACTTCTTCGGTGATCGCGTGATTTCGGAAATGTGCCATGGCCACCAAGATCGTGCGATTTGACTCCCTTGGACTTCTTTTTATGGGGATATTTGAAAAGCAAAGTCTACGTCAACAAACCAGCCACCCTCCAAGAACTCAAAACAACATCACTGCCGAGATAAATGCCATAGAACCGACCATGCTGCAAAATGTCATTGAAAATTTCGACCACCGCGTGGACGTCTGTAATCCAGTCGTGGTGAACATTTGAGCGATATTATTTTCATACATAAATGGTATAAATGAACCTTCAAAATAAAGTACCCAACTTGATTTGAATATCAATCTTTCTTGTTTTAATATGCGTTTACTTTCCTGCGTTCGTTTTGGACAACCCCATACATTATTTTTCTATTTTGTAGGCATCCCCGTTCTCAGCAACATCAAAGTTGGTTACAACCTCATGGACCACATAGCAGTTGGAGGACTTACGTTCATAATAAACCAACCTTTCTCTTTGAGGACAGAGAAAATCATAAACAAGGAGAAACTGGACATGTACTTCAACCATCACAAAGGACCGCTGTCTATACCAGGTACATTGATACACATATACAATATTCATTCCGTTAGCGAGAAAGTGAGATAGACCATCTATTATTCCTACAATGTGGGACAGCAGGTGATTAGTATTAGTTCTGAGATTGCGGAGGTGATAGTGCTTTACATGCAGAGAGAAGAGTCTATGCAGTTACAACCTCATGACTATATGTATTCTACGTAACATAAAAATGACTCCCTATTTCGCGTGGTCACGCCATAAACTTGAGAACGACTTTACCGATTTCATTCATCTTTTTTTTTTAGTTTCCTAATGCTGTATAGAAGGTTCTTACGGACAGAAAAATCAAGAAAATCGCGCATAAAATTGGAAAATCATTGAAACCTAATGATTACACTGATCAACAGCCAAAAAATATCCTAAATAAATCAACAAAATATTACTATTTTTAATGTGCTAAAAACCGGAATGAACATATTTTTTCAATATTAGTTCAAGTTTTAGAGATACGGTAATTATAAGTGTTCCTGCTGTGACAGTGTTAATATACTGTAATTCACAAGAATGCACGTGCTACATTTTTATATTCGGCAAGGAAAGATGATGTAATCGGCATGATTGTGTTACGTTATACATACGTGTACATTATATTGTTTTATATTAGCCATTTTTTCCTCAGTTGGCTGACAGCGTTCATGCAAGATGTCTCGAAAGTGTGTAAACAATCCAGATCAGTTTTGTTACGTGTGTGGTGATGTGACTTTTGCGTCTCAGAGACGGTCTATTACTCCACTAATAACAAAGGCATATCAGCTTTATTTCGGTTGTAAACTAGGTGATCAAGACAAACAGTGGGCACCCCACATCTTCTGTAATACATGTGCTTCAAGTCTGAGGAGCTGGTTAAATGGCAAAAAACGGTCTATGTGCTTTGCTGTCGCAATGGTTTGGAGAGAGCCTACAAATCATATTAATGATTGTTACTTTTGCATGGTACCTTGTGTTGGACAAGCCACAGGTATGTCCAAGAAAAAAAAATCGGTTATTAACTACCCAAACATACCATCTGCGATGAGACCTGTGCCTCACAGTGACGAAAATCCTATTCCAAAACCCCAGAATCCTACACTTGCGAATCAGAAAACGAATCAGATCATGGCGATCGAGTGATTCGTCAGGAAGAAGATATGCCATCAACGTCAAGAGATCCTGATTTATACCGAGCACGTCATGCCACCAACCGCACAAAATAACACAGTCAGAATTAAATGATCTTGTAAGAGATTTAGAACTTCCAAAATGTAAGGCAGAGTTACATGGATCAAGACTGCAGCAGTGGAACTTGTTAGAAGACGATGTTTCGGTATGTGTTTTTCGTAAACGCCACAAAGACTTAGAACCATTTTTCAATATGGGGAATAACTTGGTTTTCTACAGTAACATTAACGGCTTACTGGCGGCTTTAAATATAAACTATAACCCAGAAGAATGGAGATTGTTTATAGACAGTTCAACATTGAGTTTAAAGGCAGTGTTATTGCATATTGGAAATATTTTACCATCTCTTCCTGTAGGGTATGCAGTTCACATGAAAGAATCATATGACAATATGAAGTACCTATTGACATGCATCAAATACGATGAGCACCAATGGCATATTTGTGGCGATTTGAAAGTTGTTGCACTTTTACTTGGGCTGCAGCTAGGCTACACAAAGTTTTGCTGTTTTTTGTGTGAATGCGACAGTCGGGCAAAGGCACTTCATTACACCAGACAAAACTGGCCTGTTCGTCAATTCCTAGAGCCAGGTCAAAAAAATGTACAGCATATGCCATTAGTAGATTCGAAAAAAATTTATTACCACCACTGCATATCAAGTTGGGCCCAATGAAAAACTTTGTCGAGGCATTAGATAGAGATGGGTCAGCTTTTCAATACCTGCGTCAGAAACTTCCAAGACTAAGTGAGGCAAAGGTTAAAGACTGTATTTTTGTTGGGACACAGATTCGAAATATTTTGAAAGACACACAGTTTGAAAACACTTTAACAGGTATTGAAAAAACTGCTTGGAATGATTTCCGTCTGGTGGTCACTAATTTCTTGGGAAATAGAAAAGCTGACAACTATAAAAACCCTTGTCACAAATATGCTGTCATCGTATCAAAAGATGGGCTGTAATATGTCTCTTAAGATACATTTCCTACACTCACACCTGGACTTTTTTCCTGACAATTGCGGAGCCGTAAGTGATGAGCACGGCGAACGTTTTCATCAGGATATTTCAACAATGGAAAAAGGTACCAGGGAAAGTGGAATCCTTCCATGCTTGCAGACTACTGTTGGACTCTTGGTAGAGATGCTCCAGAAACGATCCATAAAAGAACAGCAAAAAGACAGCGCATATAGTGATTCTTATAAGTATATGAATCTTGTTACTTTTTTTAATATATCCTTAAAAATAAAAAGTTTTTTTTCTAAACCGCAACTAATTTTTTATTTCATTGTCATTTTTGGATTCAGCGCCCCAAAATTAACAAAGAAGTGCACTTTTCCACAAGATACAATTAAAAAACTAAAATTTGTTGTCCAGTGTTATTTGAGCTACGCGCGTTTGACAGTTCGCTTGAGCATGAGGCACGCACAGCAGATGAAATATCTCAAGTACCAAAAGAGACAGGCACTCCTCTCCGCCATCTTTATTTCAACAGCTATTGACAGCTAGCTATGTGAGAGAAAATTGCTTTCGAAAACACGGAGCTTTCGTTTTTGGACTTAAATGTCTATACCATTCGTAGTTTATGATGCAGTGTTGCCTAAATGTTATCTTTGTCAGTTAACTCTATGAATAAACATTTCACTTTCACTACTATTATCTTTTGAACTTGACAGCTCGCACGTCGCAAATTTATGTTATCGTTTAACAGTGTTTATCGATGAAAAAACGGTCCATTCGAGCTTTTATCCAGTTTTCAGTTTGTTCAGTGAGTTTTTGGGAAGTGTTTGATCAAAAATAATTAACAAGGGTGAAAATTAGTTTATCGCAATCAGATTCTTCTTACTCTAGGTCCTCGAAGTTGTGCATTTATTATTTCAGCCGCAATAAACATTTTTTCGCGAAGTTGTGCTTCAGTTGTTATTGGACCAGGCCCATAAACCATCCCTTTAAGTTTTCCCCAATACCAGAAATCCATCGGATTGAGGTCAGGAGATCTTGCTGGCCATTTTAGAGGATCAGGAGCATTTCGACCGATCCAGCGATGTGGACAATGTTCATTCAAATACTGAATGACGCCTCTAAAAATGTGTGGTGGTGCCCCGTCATGAAGAAACCACAAATTCTGTCACCGTTGTAATGGCATGTTGTCTAAGGTCTGTTCCAAAAGTTTTGACGTGACCCCCCCCCCCCTATTACTTGACTACCATAACGTTTACACCATGTATTTTTTTCAAACGAACTCCTTTTTTTCATATTAGGAGGATGTGAAGTCCTTGTCTTCCATGACTTCAAAGACCCACAAAATCCTGACGGCTATCCGGATATAGAACTGCTCTACCAAGGAGGATCTCTTGTTTCCGAACCCACACTGAAGAAAGATTTTGGTATACTTGATGGTATCTACGACAAGGTGTGTATTATTTAACCTTTAGTGCCAAATTACATGAAAGTAACCAGCTGAGAAAAAAATTAACTCGTCAAGACTAAACTATTTCTGCAAGAATTCTATCAACTAGTTTAAATGGATAGCATAACTTTGTTTCCTTTTAGGTTTACAAGATGGTTGAAGACGCAGAAACGTTCATGGTCCTGCCCATGTTGATGAGACCAAAAAGTAAAGGCAAACTGCTACTGAGAGACTCCAACTACAAATCCAAGCCGAAGATATTCCCTAACTATTTCGCGTATAAGGAAGACATGGAGACTATGATGAAAGGAATCAACTTGGCACTGAACATATCTGCACAGCCGGCTTTGCAAGCATTAGGTGGGTTCCATAATCCGCTTTAAGCTGTATTTTTCAATGATACGAGCGCATTTTTTGGAGACAACAAACATACCGCAAAGTTTGAATTGCCTTCCACCAAAACCTTTTTGATTTTCACCATACCATTCATACGATCCAAAAAATTTGAATATTAGGCCGACATGCGGTTGGAGTGATATTTTTGCACAACTCTTGGACTAATTTTGGTTGGCAAGCTTAATCACCAAATATCATAAAATGAATGACGGCAAACACGATCTAAAAACCAGCTCAACCTTATGCAGCCATACTGCTAGTTATTTGTATAACCGGTTGCAGGCACGATTGCAATTTGTTTTGTGTACGAGAACTAAACATTTGTATTCGGTAATGTAATGATCAGTGGCGTTACTAACGGGTAATTCATTTAGAAGCACATATGAAAACAATCAACTTTATGCGTCTATCTTAATTACCTGAATATAGGCGTCAAGTAGGTTGACTACACTTCGCACGCAAAGCCGTATCAGTTCATAAACAAGTCGAAATAGGAAAGCGCCATAGACCTTTGTGTATGTGGCTATGGAATAGTTGCAATGCTTTCGTTGTTGTGCCAGAGACCAAGCCTACACCATGCTGATGAGTTGCCAAAAAGCACGAAACAGGTGTCTGTGGTTGGCTGTCTTTAGTTTAAGTTACACTCTCTAGGAAAAAAGTTAGTTACGAACAGGGTGGCTGATATGTATACGTAAATGACTGGATTGTATCTTGAATATTTGTGAAATGAAATAAAATACGTCCATTTTTTTCAACTTAAACTTTTATTGAAACTGAAATTATGTATGAAAAATAATATCAGATGTCCGCATCTAGAAGCCGCGCAAACTTGAGCCCTCTTGATTACATTTTCCATCGCTTTTTGGTAGGTTTCGGGAGGAATATTTTCAATCGCTTCCGTAATATTATTATTCAGCTGCTCTACAGTATTTGCAGCAGCCCATCAGCCTACAGCCACACAGCCACCCAATGTTTAAGATCGCATGTCTCTTTTTTCAACCGCCTGTTTGGTATTCTAAATCCTTATCACGATGTTTTTCGAGATGACTAAACAATGTTTCCAATTTTTTTTTGTTAAATGGATTTTTTGTGATTTTATTGTGCATAATAATACCTTAAAGATCAACGTTTCGAATGTTAAATTCGTTTTTTCGAAAAAAAAATTCCTTGTGCCTGAAAATATGTGGGACCTTATTTTTGAGACAACTCTCGTAAATTGTGACGTCTATGACAAAGTTCTCTTTCACGCAACGCCAACTAGGAATAGAAACAGTATACCTAATCAGCGTTACCAGACGTACGATAATTATTATCGTTTCTGTACGATAATTTCAAGTATTGTACTATGTATACTAAGTGACATATAAATCCGAACACCCAGTTTAAATGGTTTAATTTTAATAAAAGTTGGTGAATGTATTTATCTTACTGTAAATAACAAGTGAAAAAATTTTCAGCCTTATCAGTTGGACATTCCGGTTTTTATACTGCTTTTTTATAATTCACTAACGCTCTAAAAATGAATATTTCAGCCGCAGTAAAGAATCAACGTTGGCGGATTTTGGTTCTTGACATCCTTTACGATCGGTTACGATGCCTAGAGTACGGAGACCTGTACGATTTTGTCAACTTAGTGAGTTTGATAGGGGCCGTATTGTGGGACTTCGGGAAGCTGGACCTTCTTTTCGGGCAATTGCAGTTAGAGTGCAAAGAAATGTAGACACTGTGGTTAGGTGTTGTCAGGCATGGCTTCGAGAAGGCCGTACGCAAAGAGTAAGGGGCACTGGACGCCGCCGTAGAACAACAGACCGTGAAGATCGCCGCCTAAGATTATTGGCCTTAAGGGATCGTTTCTCCACTACCAGGTCCATTGCAAATGAATGGTTTGCAGAACACGGAAGACCTATTGGCATGCGAAGTGTTTACCGACGAATGAGAAGTTTTGGCTTGTTTTCATACCGGCCACACTGGGTCCTCCCTTTAACTCGAGAACACCGACGTAATCACCTTGAGTGGTGCAGACAACGGTCACTCTGGGATCAGGAATGGAACAGTATTGTCTTTAGTGACGAGTCTCGATTTTGTTTAGGCATGCACGATGGTCGTGCCAGGGTTAGAAGGCGACGTGGTGAAAGGAGGAATCCACAGTTTTTTGTTGAAAGACATGTTCATCACACTGTTGGAGTTGTGGTTTGGGGTGCTATAGCTTATGGTTCCAGGTCACCTTTAATCTTCATCAGAGGTAACATGAACGCGCAGCGTTATATCCACGAAGTTCTAGAACCCCATCTTTTACCCTATCTTGACACCCTGGCAGATCCAACTTTCCAACAAGATAATGCCCGACCACATGTTGCAAGAGTCACAATAAACTTCTTTCAACATAATGATGTCACATTGTTACCATGGCCACCAAGATCTCCCGACTTATCCCCATTTGAGCACGTGTGGGATATGATGGGTAGGAGATTGATCAATTTGCAAGGTCCTCCTCGGACTCTAGAAGCACTTCGAGAGGAGTTGGTGGTTGCCTGGAATGAGATACCACAGGAGGACATTGACCACCTGATCAGAAGCATGCCTAGGCGCGTTGGAGAATGCGTAGCACATCAGAGTGCATCCACACATTATTAAAGGTCAAAGGGCTTTAAAGCAGTGCAATCATTTTGAAATTTTTATCATTTACTTATTATGCTTCATTAAGTACTTATACAAAATTTTATCAAAATAAAACCATTTAAACTGGGTGTTCGGATTTATATGTCACTTAGTATACAGGGTTATCCAAATTAAGTGTCCACCATTAGTAACTTTGTTATTAGTGAAAATACAAAGTTGTTTGAATTAGCAAACTAGTAGCATTTTTAACGCTGGTAAAAATGAGAAATAAAAAAAACAATTGGGAATCGTTATTTTGATTTTTTTCAGTAAAATAACATTTTTTTAAATGGAAACCCCTGTATATTATATTTTTTTCTGTTAAAGCATCAAATTTTAAACAAAAAAGCTTACAATAACTTTTCTCCTAGGTTACAAATTGTTGAAGTTATGGCCTCCAATCTGAAACAATTAAATTGTATCGACAAACTTTATTTTCAACATCAACTTATAATCTTACAAAATACAATAACAATTTTTTTTAAAGAAGATGCTCGAAAACACCACCTTGTTCTTCAATACATTTTTGGGCACGTTTTTCAACTGCTCGAACTGTCTTAAGTATGGTCCTACCATCTATCTGGGTTATCTTTTCCCTAACTGCAGTCTTTAACGCGTCAAGGTTATCGTACCTTCGCTTGTAAATTTGGTTCTTTAAGTAACCCCACAAGAAGTAATCAAGTGGGTTTAGATCTGGTGATCTGGGAGGCCACTGTATTGGGCCATTTGTTCCTATCCACTGATCATTAAAAGTAGTACTTAGAAAATGATAGGTACCTCTGGAGTTGTGGGCAGGTGCGCCATCTTGCTGAAAATGCAGATGATGTCTACTTATAAGATCCAATTCGTCTAAGAAATTAGTCAGAATTTCTGACATAAATTCCACATATCTTTCACCATTTAGGGTTCCCTCATAAAAGAACGGGCCAACAATTTTTGAACCAATTATACCGCACCAAACGTTGAAACTGAAACGGACTTGTGGGCCTCTTGGATGTACTAACAAAAGATTTTCTCTTGACCAATAATGGTGGTTTTTTCTATTAAACATTCCAGAATTTGAAAAATTTGATTCATCTGTCCATAAAAGGTAACGAAAGTTATTTACATTTTGGCGACAGAAGCTAAGATACCAATGGCAAAAAACAAGTCTTCTCTCTGGATCCCCTGCCAAAAGCGTTTGAACTGGTCGGTACTTATACGGAATAAATTTGTATTTTTTTAAAATCCTTTGAACAGTACCATAACTGAAATTAGAGTCCTTGAGAATATCTGCTATTGAATTCTCACGATAAGCTTCAAAATATCCAATAACTGCAATTTCCGTGGCCTCGCTTATTATGAATTCTTTTTTTGCCCTTGTTTTAGCAAAAACATTTTCGTTGCCCCTAAATTTTCGATAAAGTCTCAGAAAATATCGTTCATACGGTTGAATGCGAGCGGGATATAATTCACTGTAGTATTCTCTTGCTCTCAAGGAGGATTTTCTGCACACTAAATAGCATTCTAACATATCACACTTTTCTTCATGGGAGAACATTTTTCTTTAAATTAATGACACAATAAAGCTTATAAACAAGTATTTACACTAATGTTTGACATTATTTGATCTTATCATTGTTTTCCAAAGCCTTCTAGTTGCGAGTATGTCCAGTTTAACAATTTGTCGCTTATCTTAATGCTGTCAAATCGCGAACGCCATGTTGTTTTCATAGCCGTCTTAATATTATAATACTGCAAATAATTAAAAATATTTATCGTTATTTTGACTTTATTTTGACTTTAGCGGAAAAGTCATTATGAACTTATTTGTTTAAAATTTGATGCTTTAACAGAAAAAAATATAATATACAGGGGTTTCCATTTAAAAAAATGTTATTTTACTGAAAAAAATCAAAATAACGACTCTCAATTGTTTTTTTTTTATTTCTCATATTTACCAGCGTTATAAATGCTACTAGTTTGCTAATTCAAACAACTTTGTATTTTCACTAATAACAAAGTTACTAATGGTGGACACTTTATGTGTAGGATAATAGCTGAATGTACGATAATTTTGCGAATGAGCTTTTTCACTCACAGATGTTGAATCAATCTAACTACGTTCAATTAACACCTGCAATCAGCTGTCAGTGTTGCCGCTTGGTAGACATGCGCGCGTACCCCACTCTGTATAATGGGTTGCCTACATTACGCGGCCTATCTCGGCAAACATCATCAGGAAAAATTGCCGCCAATCAGTTCTCACGTTCTATGTATTGACATGACGTGCATATTTTTATTTACCCATGTGCATTAGATGAAATTAATGCGACGTCTCCCGTTTTTATGACTTTTGAAACTTAAAAATCAAAAGATCGTTTTCAGTTATTTTCGATATTTAACCGGTTTCAATTCAATAACGATAATATGTCGGATTCCGAATCAAGTTGCCCTGGAAGAGAGAAACACAAGAAAAGATGCGATACTCCCGAATACAGAAAACAAAAGAAAAGGAGCGGAATCTTTGAAGAAAGCCAAACATAGACAGCAAGCTTATCATGAGAGAACCTAAGGCACGGTGTAGGATAATTTTGACGTGTTTGTACGATAATTTCCTGCGACGAATCTGGCAACGCTGTACCTAATCCGTTTGTTATTTTCAACAGGTGCCAAGCTCCACAGTAAACCGATCCCGCAATGCTCGAATCACACCTTCGGCAGCGACGCCTACTTCGAGTGCATGGCCAGGTACTTCACGTTCACCATCTACCATCAGAGCGGCACCTGCAAAATGGGGCCGAAATCCGACAAGAAGGCCGTCGTAGACCCCCGTCTCAGAGTATACGGCATCGAAAGGCTCAGAGTCATCGACGCATCGATCATTCCTGAGATACCAGCTGCCCATACCAATGCTCCCGTGTACATGATCGCCGAGAAGGGAGCTGATATGATCAAGCATGACTGGGGATATCATACGCATACGTAACGGGAACAGGAACGTTGTATACCTGTGATATTACTATTTAAGTGTACAGACCTAGTGTGTAAAACGATTATTTAATAAGTATTTATGGAATTTAACTTACTAAATAAAGAATGCGTCCTTCTGTATATGTACATAAATTATCCTAAAGAGCGTTATCATTGCTGGTTTTGTTCCTCTCATGAAGCTCTTTCATTTGATACATACAGTAATGGACAAAAGTAAATAGACAAATATGAATATTTACCTAAATACCTTTAGAAAACGAATTCATACTTCATTGCTCCATAAACAAATGCGTTATTAGTAGAAAAACTAAATTCCTTGATTTTACATTATCTGCAATGAACACAATACAAGTCTGAAATAAGCACTTTTTTAGGAGGGACAAAAATATGTAGACAAATTCTTTTCAACATTAGTTTAGTACAGTTTCATGTCAGAAGAGGATTAGTTTGTGTTCACCAAGTATTGTGGAATAAGTTCAGTGATTTTAAGACCATGCCGTGTGGTCCAGAAATTTTTTTCGATGTGAAAACTAAGATCATTGAGTTATACAACGATGGTCAACGTCAAGTCGACATTGCCAAAAATTTGAAGCTGGAGCGTAAAGCAGTTTGGGCAATATTGAACAAATATAAACAAAAAGGTATGTTGGAAGCCTCTAAGAGAAGTGGTTGGCCTAGAAAACTAAATGCTAGATCAGTTAGATTAATAAAAGTAATTTCGTCCAAAGATCCGTTTAAAACCCCAAGACAAATAAAAACCGAAATCGAGACAAAAGGAATTGTCAGTGCTTCTACGAAAACTATAAGTAGAATGCCCACTGTCAAACATGGAGGCGGGTCTGTTATGGTTTGGAGGTGCTTTTCGGGGTTTGGGAAGGGACCTTTACATAGAATAGATGTCATTATGGATAAGTTTGTATACACAGACATACTAAAACTAAAGCATGTCATGTTACCCTATATGGAAGACAATATGCCCTTAAGATCAATCTTCCAGCAAGCTAATGACCCGAAGCACACTTCAAATCTCGCAAAGAAATTCTTTCTGGATGAAAAAATACCAGTTCTCAAATGGCCTTCACAGTCTCCCGAAACAAACCCCATTGAAAATCTATGGGAATACTTAGATAAGCAAATATAAGATAAAAATTATTCAAACACGGATGAACTTTTTGCCGCTTTAGAGCAAAAGTGGAGACAGATTGATGAATCTTATATCAAGAAACTTCTACAATCTATGCCGAGACGATGCCAGGCGGTGATTGATAATAATGGTTATGCAACAAAATATCAACACAAACATGGTTGGTTTTCTATAATTCGATGAACTTTGCTTCTTTTTCCTATAATTGTTTTGCTTTGTCTATATATTTTTGTCCTTCACGTTCCAGTTTTTTTCAATTAATTTTTTATTGATTGCTATAACGAATTATGTATACAGGTTGGTGTATTAATAAAAGAAGTTAAAAAAGAAATACAGCACAATATTAATTTGTCCATATACCTTAGTCCATTACACTATACCATGGGGGTGCCGATGACGATAAGCGCCATCTTGGAGCGGTCGCCATATTGGATTTAGAATGACGTCACTTTGCCTATTCTTTCTCACATCACTGTCTTTCCTTTGAGCCCGTATCACAGAGGTGGCTGTGAGACATGTGATTCGCTATTTTGCGGCGACCGCCATATCGGATTTAGAATTACCTCTTTGTTTATTGTGTTTCTCACGTCAAACCATTTCATTTGACACCCATATCATAGGGGTTACTATGGAAATGAGGAATCGTCATTTTGTAGCCTCCGCCATATTGGATCTAAAATGCCGGAAGGTAGATTTTGTAGTCACAGGAGACAAATGAGTGTATAAACTTCAGCTCAATTGATTGCAAGATTTGTCGAACACATACCTACTAACATACGTTCAAATTAAATAAAAGCTTGTAAAATAATGTTTGACGTGCCTTGGTCCCTTATAAAATTACTGTGTACGCCCTTGGCAGCTATCCATTAATGCAACCGATCCTATTAAAGTCCCTTGTTATGAACGTACTCAATTTATTTCTGAATGGGATTCAGATAAGATTCTCGCTTCGCGGATATGCTAATGATTTTGTCATAATATCGGATTTTGCGGCTTGAATGCGATGTAAACAAACATTGCAATACAGTATTTACCGTGCATCGTGATATTAGCACAAAAATATAAAGGGCGGTCAATAACGCAAACGTCAAATGCTGAAATAGTTGTATACAATTATAATCAGACCAATTAACTTTAACCTTCTGTTAAAATAGTTCGACCTGTTTGATCATTGCATAACGCAGACTGCAAATAAATGCATCATAGTATCAAACATCAAACGAATGATAAAAGTAGGGTTATATTTTGACTAACCTGATACGATAAGCGCCTCGTTCGGTCCCACGGTGTGTATGTTGCCCATTATGGTCACTCGAACGAAACCAATCCACACTACAACCAAAACCGCCCGAAAAACACAAAATAAGCCACCGTTTACCCGCAAATGCGGCTCCTATCAACACTCGTCAGCCATTCAATCAATTCACTGGGCGCACAAAACACGATATTCGTCTAAGTCTAAGTAGGCGCGTTGATGCCAGCACGCGCTTCTGGTTCGGGATTCGATGAAGGGATGGACGAAGTACAGGGGATGCGGAAGCGTAACTTACCAGGGGTGGAAGTACAGAGTGAACGAATGAGATATGGAATGACTAATGCATGTTACATTTTTTCACTGCTGAATAAGCGGTATGCCGAGCTGGGCGCAAAATGCTGATTAAATTCGTGGAATCCACGATTGTTATCAACAATGTAGAATTATATCGTATAGGCACAGAGGACTATCACTATAATCTGTGGTATAGTGTACTTATAAGTAAAGATGTTTATTACTAGCGTTATGATTGCAATACATTTATATATAGGTACATATTTATTTATACACCGCGAACCAAATTACCAGTTTTTGGTGGGATAACACACTATGCCATATTTTTACATGTTTGCTTGATGTATAATAATTTTGTTTTAAATATATCAAACTAGTCCTGAAGATTATTATAACATGAACACATTTAGTGCAGAGGTAAGATAGTTCGTGGGGTAGCGAGGTAAAACGTACGCGTTTCGTTTAAAACATTTTGGAGTATCTACCTATTGAACCATAACGGCGATGTGAAAAATAGGCATGGGCGCATGCCCCCCTTATGGCCGCCCATAGGGGGGGCATATGCCCCCCTGGCTTCTACTTAAAAGTGAAATATTCTTGGGTAAGAAGTGGCGTGTGAGCTTTTTTAATGCTCTTCAAAACATCTTAACATACAAGATAATATTTCTGCTACCATTTTGAATAGTTGCAATCCCCCTCAACCGCCCTCCATTTTTGTTCCTGCGCAACCTTTAAACCAAACATCCCCCCTGGATATTGCTATATGGGCGCTCATGAAGATGAGCAATCGTAAATACCATGGACTGTTTTTTAAATAAATCCTCAAAAAAATTCCGTCTATTATCTAAGCTATAAAAAAACATGTTTTTACGAGTATTCTACTCTAATTTAGATAATACGGAATTGAAAATAATTGCCTCCTTATAAGTAGTCTTTTTGGAATTCCGTATCACAAATCCCAACGATCTATTAACAGCTAGAAAAATTTTGATTCTTAGGGCCGTATCATCAGTCTTCCTACAATATTGTAAGAGGGTGGTCCCAGAAGTACCCGGCCTGACCTAGAGATGGCGATAGTTTGAAAAATATCATTGTATTAGAAAGTATGCAACCTATAAAGCATATATGTCAAGTTTGAAGACGCCACGTTGTCTAATATTTGTTTGCCAGCCATCAATACTGAACGTTTTCAGTGAATTTGTGAAAATAGAGAAAAATGGTCATCGTTATCTGGTACAATACTTTTATTTCAAAGGTCTCAGCCCAACCAATATAAAAGCTGAACTGGATTCTACTCTGGGTGAGTCTGCTCCTTCGTTTACAACAGTAAAATATCGGGTAGCAGAGTTTAAACGAGGCCGTATGAGCTGCCAAGACGAGGATTGCAGTGGTCGACCAAATGAGGTGACGACTCCAGAAATGGCGAAGAAAATCCACAAAGTGGTACGGAATGATCATCGACTGAAAGTACGCGAGCTAGCAGACAATAGGCATTTCAAAAAGTGCGGTTCATCGCATATTATCTGAAAATTTGGACATTAGAAAGCTGTGTGCAAGATGGGTGCCGCTATTGCTCAAAATCGAGCAAAAACAGTGTCGTGAACATGTTTCGGTTGAGTGTTTAGCGAAGTTTCACAGCAACAAAGCAGAATTTTTGCGTCGTTTCATAACCATGGATGAAACGTGGGTCCATCACTTCACACCCAAGACAAAAGAACAATCAAAACAATGGACTAAAAAGGGACAACCGGCTCCAAAGAAGGCGAAGACCATTTCATCTGCAGGCCAGGTTATGGCGTCGTTTTTTGGGATGCGCGTGGGATAATTTTCATTGACTATCTTAAAAAAGGTAAAACTATCGACGGCGAGTATTATGCGAACTTATTGCTACATTTGAGCGATGAAATCAAGCAAAAACGGCCGCATTTGGTTAAGAAGAAAGTGTTGTTTCATCAAGACAATGCGCCAGCTCACAAATCCGTTATTGCAATGGCCAAAATTAACGAATTAAAGTTTGAATTGCTACCTCATTCACCAGATTTAGGCCCCTCGGAGTATTTTCTGTTTCCAAACTTGACAAAATGGCTCAGTTATCAAAGATTTTCCAACGATGAAGAAGTGATGTCGGCAGTTAATGGCTATTTTGAGGAGCAAGACAGTTCTTATTATAAAAAGGGTATCGAACTTATTGAACATCGCTGGGAAAAGTGTATAGAGCTCAAAGGAGATTATGTTGAAAAATAAATACATTTTTTTACAAAATTTTTGCTTTCTTCGTTGGGTCGGGTACTTCTGTGACCACCCTCGTAGAGTGCCTCTATGGCCTCCTAGATTTTCATAGTTTTCTACTATTCCGTGTCAAAACTTCACAATAGGAGAGCGCTGACGCGGACACCGAACAGGTGAAATCTAGAAAAACCCAGCTCTTCTGACGAGGAGAAAAGACTATGAAAATCAAGGAGGCGATAAACGCGTCCTACAATTGTAGGAACCACTGACGATACGGCCCTTATATCCCCTTGCATAGGATCCTTATATATCACATTTGGAAAAAACTTGGTACGGCACAAAAGCAAGAAAAAATCAAAGAAGCCGAATTTAAAAGAAATGCTAATAGTAAAAGTTTCATACTTTTGAAAAGGCAAATAGACGATACGCAAAGAACGAAGTTATTAATAATAGACCATAGAACAATGTGTAATGCAATATTTGTATTCGTTTCTTTAAATACATTTTAAAGGTCAGGAAAAGTTAATGTATAAAATGTACTTTTGAGCTACCCTAAACAACTGTTGACTATCGGACCATTTACCATAAACAAAATTGTATAAATGTCGAAATGCGATTAAAAAATTAATCCCTAAATCTTTGTTCACTAAATAGATGCTTTCAAGGTTCACGATGTTTCACCCTTTTAGAGTATACTACTAAGCGATTAAACGAACTGGTCGCTTTCAAGCGAACGTTGCTCAAACAATCAGCTTCAGTTTGTATTTCAATTTCCGTGAGCTGCACTCCGACACGCATCGCACAAAAAGGCTTTAAGAAAATTGACGTCAAGTAGGTTGACTCTGCACTTCTCACGAAACTAGGGTTGAAAAAAACATGTATTTTTTTATTTTATAAAATGTATTTGAGAACATTTCCTATTTTTATTTATTATATTAATAAAGAAAATAAAGGTAAAAAACGCTTGTTTAATTTAAGTGATTTAAACATGTTTTAAACCTAAGCAAATGTTTAAAACATGTTTAAAACAATTGATTAAAACAAAATGTTTAAAACGAAACAACCCTGCACGAAACGCTGTCAACAGTTTATAAAGGATGGCAATGTATGAAAATGGTCGTTGCCCGCATCGTCCCGACCCGACCGTGTGTCTAGTCATTAAATATTCCTGTAAGTTATAAGGGAAAATCTTTAATGTCTGAAATACGTACTAATTGGTACGTAAAATTACTCTGGTTTAAAAGCGTATAAATATACTGCCGCAAACCAAATTAGATACATCTGCCCCCACCGCTTGAAACCTCCAAGCCCCGATTTTCAACCCCTACAAAAAATAATTTTGAAAACGACAGGAGCCTCTGAAACGACAAGAGACGAAGTTTGAGCGATTTTCATTTTTTCGTGTTTTTGCCGTCCAATTCTGCCGATTTTCGAAAACTACAAAGATTTTTCGTCCTTGGCTAACCTAGTGTGAAAAAATCATCCAAATTCGAGCAGTATGTTGATCCTCCTCCAAAAAAAAGATTCTGAGAAGAACTCCGCCAAGTGATTTT